CGCTGCTCTTGGTGGCCGTGGCCATGGTGGGTGCCGTCGCGGTGATCGTTGCCGTCTCCGTGTCCAAGAAACAGGGGCCGTCGATCATCTCGATGGAAGATGGCTACGTGCCCCTGGCGCAAGACATGTACTAAGCCATCGCTCGTCGCCGCGTTAATGATTCGCTGTCAGTAGTCGGTCCAATACATATATCGTTAATCGTTTCTCTCTACGTGAGCTGTCGGCTTGTTTACGCCGAGGCGAAATGATGCTTGTACGTACAAGTGGAAGAAAAACATGTACAGGGTCGAGCAAGCGAAGGACCTTGCAGGTTCATGCAATCGATAGAAGATAGCACGGTAGTAGGCGTCCATCGCCCCGGTAGCGTAGCCACTATACAGATTATCTTCCTAGTCATAAGCGGTCCCTGCCACGCCACGCCCAAAATGGCGCCAAGATACTTGTCACGACTGGACCGCCATGAGCTGCTCGTGGCGCGCCCGGCGCAGGCAGCACGCCACGACGAGAATGATTGGGGCAAGTGCCGTCGCCGCTAGCACTGGCACGCCGTCTGTCATTGATCTGAATGAACTGGCCTTCGTCAACTACCGGGCTTGTCAAAGATACCGTTTTGCAGCGTGCGATTGGCTCTTTTTTCTTTTTGTTTCCGCCAATCACAAGTGCCGCCATAGGATTGGTCAAAACTCGTGTCAAAAGCACGTTTCCCGCGAGCAACGAGCATGGTGTGGGGCACGAAGGCCGGCGTGACCGACTTGGTGCAGAAGCTGCAGGCGCAGAACACCAAGTCCATGTACATCCTTAGCACGCGCAAGATCACGTCCGCCGACGCCATCTCGCTCGCCTCCGCGCTCAAGTCGCATCCGACCATGGAAGAGTTCTACATCTCGGGGCACGTCCTTGGCGCGGACGGCCTCGAGGCCTTTGCCAACGTCCTCGCCACCAACACGGTCCTGCGCAAGCTCGCGGTGGGCACCGAAGCGCTTGGCGACGCTGGCCTCGCGATCCTCTGCGCGGGCTTGGCCAAGAACCCGGCGTCGGCCATTCAGGAGCTCGACATGGAGCTCAAGAGCATCAGCAACGACGGTGCGACGGCGCTCGGCGCGATGCTCGGCACGAACAAGAGCATCCGCCACCTCGTTCTCGCCCGCAACAAGATCCACACGCAGGGCTTTGAGCACCTCGTCGCCGGCCTTGCCGCCTCCAACGCGGTCCGCGAGCTCGATATCGCCGAGAACGAACTCGTGTTGCACAGCGACGCGTCGTTGGCGCTCGCGCAGTGGATCCGTCGCCAAGACTGCTCGCTGCAGACCATCAACCTCGCGGGCAACCCGCTCGGCGACTCGTGCGTCGCGTTCTTTGAGGCGCTCGCGACCAACACGTCGCTGACGTCCTTGAACCTCTCGTCCACGCAGCTGTCGCCGGCGGCGTGGGCCGCGCTTGGCCGCGCGCTCGGCCAGAACGCGACGCTCCAGACGCTGGATGTCTCCCAGAACAAGATGGCCAGCATCGAGAGCGTTGCCGCCGGCCTCTCTGCGAACGCTGGCCTCGTGCGCCTCGTGCTCGCCAAGACGCAGCTCGGCGACGACGGCGCCATGGCTCTTCGCACGCCGTCGACGCTCGTGCACTTGGACTTGAGCGCGAACGGTCTGACGAGCGTTGGCATGCGCCCGCACCTCGCCTCGCCGCTCAAGGAGCTCCGCGTCTTTGACAATGCGCTTGGCGCGGGCCTCATGGACGTGCTTCCGACGCTTCTGGCCAACCCGGTTCTCGAGGGCCTCGACGTTGGTGCCAACGCGCTCCACGGCGCACTGGCGATCGCTCTCTTTGAAGCGCTGCACACACCGACCGCGCTCAAGACGCTTGAAGTCGGCGGCAACAACCTCGGCGACGCTGGCCTCGCGGCGCTCGAGGTCCTCCAGGAGCGCAACCCGGCCTTGGACGTGGCCATCGACAAGCGTGGCGGCGGCGACGACGACGCATAAGCCGTTTCATAAATAAGAACGTAGATTTACGACAATAAGATAGGATATCTAGATGCTTTCCCAGCGGGCGACGAGGTACCATTGGTGGCACACGAGCAGCATGAGGAATAGCGTGACGAGCGCGAGGAGCCGGAGGAGCACGCCCTTGCAAATCTCAATGCAGACGACCGAGAAGACCATCGAGATGAAGTGCATCGTCTGCATGCCGTAGCTGTCGCCGCTGCGCGACCGCAGGAGCACCGGCCGCTTGGCAAAGATATCGTTGTAGTCGGCCGGGCGCCGGCAGCTCGCCACGTCGGCGTCGGCTTCATCGACGACCTCGGCGATCGGCGGGAGGCGGGCGCGGGTGAGGAGCGACTTCATTGTGGCCAAAGGAAGAGTGGCGTCGCGGCGGTGTAGGTCTCGTATCTGGCGACTGCGTTACGAGGTCTGGACCGCCGACATGAAGCCTCTGCGCCCGATCAGCGTTACGTGCACGAAGTTGAAGTTGCATTTATATTCCATTTTTTCTTTCCATACAAAGACGCCATGCGTTTTAAAAGGGGCTATTAAATTTTCGACCTCCAAACGGCGCCCGAGATGGTGCATTCGATAGATACAATCGTGTGCTCGTTGAAAAGACGGAGTTTTCATTTTATTGTTGGGATTATCGCGTGATACGGGAAGAGAATTGTTGCAAAAAGGGAAGAGGCCGCCACGACCAGGATGACGTAATGCCAGAAGAGTAGGAAATCTCTGCGACCAACACAAAGCCGCGGGGCGACGCTGTCTTGGGTGCGGTATGCCCACGTTGCCCGGACGGGGGCGCGAAGGACCTCGTTACGAGCTCATTACATGGAGGTTGCCGCACGAGTTACTCGTAGCGACTAATAGTAGTGCTGCTACTAACTAGTACATCGTCGTCCTTGCATAAACTCCGAAATGACCTCTACGATCCAATGGCCGTGGGACTGCGTGCGTTGTCGTGACGACAGCGCTTGGGTGGAAAGGGATTGCGACTGGGCACCTGTGACGGAGACGTCCTTGCCGAGCTTTCATACAGTGTACTGCAAAAGCTTTGGTACAGTGTATGTACTACTGCGCACCGCTGTCCAAGGATGGTTTTTTGATGGACCCTTGCCGCTGCCTTTTGGCTTGGGAGGTGATGCAAGGTGGCTGTGCGAGCCGCACCGAGGCTCCGTCGCACGTCAGGCTCCATGGGTGGACGCGAGCGTGGATGGGCAGAGATATGCGCAGTCCAACAACAACCGTGCAGCATGTTGCGCCTAAAAATCCAGTGAAACGATCGCGATCTTGGGGGCTCCAACCCACGTGGAGCGCCGAGGGATCTTGCCAGGTTCTCCAACGCGGCCCCGTGCGGTCCAAAAAGCCATTCGTGCAAGGCGACTCTGGGAGATGACTCTGGGAAGATCGCAACGCTGCTGCACAGAATGTGCGTGGTCAGTAGAAGCCTGTCTGCGCCGAGTGGCCTTCGCAGAGCACGTCGACAATGGGCGCGTGGCCAAACTGCACCGCGACGTCTAGCGCTGTCTGTCCGTCCTACGCCCACACCACCACGTCGTCGAACGCATGTATCTCAAGTACCTCGTTGCGCAGATTCTTGTCGGCGCCGAGCTTGAGCAACGTGCGGACCATGTCGTCGGATCCGTTGAGCGCCGCTTCGTGGAGCGCACTCCAGCCATAGACCTGCAGAATCGGAATCGTTGCGCGTTTATGCAGGAAGCTACGTACGTCGGTCGCATTGACGTCAGCTCCGTAATGCACGAGGAGCTCTGCGACGGCCAACTGGTCCTTCTTGGCTGCTGTGCGCAGTGGCAGGTCGCCGTCGCGGTCGGGCGCGTTGACGTCGACGTCGCCGGCCTCGAGAAAGGATACGACCGTCGCCTCGTCGCCCTTGGCGATGGCATCTGCGATGCAGGTATATTAGCAAAAAGACTATAGACGCTGCGATGTGGACCGGTGAAGCGCAAGTCGATCGGGTTCATCTTGCAAGTGGTTACGGTTTCGCGGGGTTTCTACTCCGTGTCGCAGCAATTAGTGTGAAAAGACAGCGCAAGGCGATGTCTGCGGGCGTCGCATGTCCACCTTGTTTCTGATCCTATCGAGAGAGCTACGGCAGGTCCAGTACGTGCACATGGACGATTGCGTGCTGTCCAGAATCTCGCGGGAGAAGCATTGCGTGTTCTCAATACACACTATTTCATTGGATGCAAATACTGTATGAAAAGAGCATCCGCCGAGATTCGCACGCTTGTACTGGCGCACTGTATGCACGTTGATTGCTGCGATGCAATTGGCTACCACCTGAATTGGGTACATCTTTTTAGCCAATCGTGGCCGTTTCATATCCGGATATAAAAAGAGCAAACGTTTCCTGCCAGAAGCGGAGAGCGCGAACGCTGAGCCATCGGCCTCCGGGTAGGCCACCATGACGACGATGGTAGCGCCTCATGCGCGGAGCGGCTAGGTAGACATGACATCACTGGGCAAGTCGCTCCAGGTAGTCATCCCGCCGGTGCCCACGGACGAGCGCCGGACGTCGCCTGAGCGCACCTCGACAGCGGTCGGCCGCGAGAGCCCCGCCGAGAGCATCCGCCAAGTGATCCTGAACGAGGTGAGTCGCATCACGCAAAAGTCGGTCGCGTGGGTTCCCGACTCGCTCGCCGACAAGTGCTACCAGTGCCAAGCGAACTTCTCGCTCGTGCTGCGCCGCCACCACTGTCGCCGCTGCGGCAACATCTTTTGCGACGCCTGCTCGCTCTCGCGCATGCCACTCGTCTCGGCGGGCTTCTTCACGCCCGTGCGCGTTTGCGACAAGTGCTGCGAGGCTGCGAAGCGGTCCCATCGGCACATGGTCAACGAGCGGCGGCGACAGAGCTTGACGCAGAGCCTGCCTGCGTCCAGCATGACGACCATGCACGCCGACCTGCACCATCATCTGCCGATCGAGGACGACGACGACAGCAGTCTCTACGACGTAAGTGCGAGTCAGAGCCCGATGACCGCGAGCCTCGCCGACGCCGTGTGCATTCAAACGATTCCGGGCGAGGTCGTCGTCGTGCGCGGCCCGGATGTCTACCTGCGGACACCCGACTATAAGGACAACGAGCCAGGCACGTTGTACATCACCAACTACCGCGTCGTCTTTACGAGCCTCCACAAGCCGCTCGCGAACGAGGTCGCGACGCCGCTGCGCCGCCGGTCGTCCAAGACGGGCCTCGGCATCCAGAGCGCGCCGATGCTGGCGCCGCCGCTCTACCACGCGATTCCTCTGCGGTCGATCGACCGCATCAAGCGCCAAGAGCTGCCCGAGTCGGACACGGGCGTCCTCGACCTGGTGTGTAAGGACATTCGGCGCCTCCAGCTCATCTTCCCCGGCCTCGTCCAGCGCCAAACATTTTCATTTTTCGACAAGTGCGACCAGCTACTGCGGCACCCGATGCCGTACTTTGCCAAAGTCTCGACCGAGACGTTCCCAACCGCTACGATCGGCGACGGCTGGAACGTCTACGACCCGGTCGCCGAGTTCAACCGGCTCGGCGTCGGCGTCACCACCACGTGGCGCATCACGAGCGTCAATTACAACTATTCGTTTTGCCCGACGTACTCGGCGGCCATCGCAGTGCCCGCCACCATCTCGGACGCCGTTCTCCTCGTGGCCGGCGCGTTCCGGTCCAAGGCGCGCATCCCAGCGCTGAGCTGGCGGGACGTGCAGACAGGCGCGACCATCTGCCGGAGCAGCCAGCCGCTCGTCGGGCTTGGGCAAAAGCAGTGTGCGGAAGACATTGCGCTCATCCAAGCGATCGCGGCCGCCAACCCGTCGAGCAGCACGCTCGTCATCGTCGACGCACGCCCGTGGGCGAACGCCGTCGCGCAAAAGACGGTCGGACGCGCCGGCTACGAGCTCACGGCGCACTACGAGGCCAAGCCCAGCAGCGACGATGACGAGCCGACCGTCGCGACGGCGTCGATGCACCTCGGGCTCACCGACTGCCGACTTGTCTTTATGGGCATTGAAAACATCCATATCATGCGCAAGAGCTTCCAGAAGCTCGTGGATTTGTGCATGGCCAAGGAGCAGCGGCCGGCCACGTCCGGCTCTATCGGCAAGTGGAACGAACACGTCGCGGCCACCAAGTGGCTGGACCACATTAGCTGCATCCTCCACGCCGCCGTCGAGATTGTGCGCCTTGTCAAGACGGAGAAAGCGAGCGTCCTCGTGCACTGCAGCGACGGCTGGGACCGCACGTCGCAGCTCACGGCGCTCGCCGAGCTCATGCTGGACCCGCACTACCGCACGCTGCGCGGGTTTGCGCTCCTCGTCGAGAAGGACTGGTGCAGCTTCGGCCACAAGTTCTGTGAGCGCACGGGCCACCCGCCGCCGAGCGACGCGATCAACGCCAGCGAGGTCTCGGTGGTCTTTCTCCAATGGATCGAGTGCGTTTGGCAGCTCATGCGGCAGTTTCCGTGCTCGTTCGAGTTCAACACGCGGTACCTCATCCTCGTGCTCGACCATCTGTACGCGTGTCGCTTTGGCACCTTCCTCTACGACTCGGAGATGGCGCGCGTCCACGAAGAGCGGTCGTCGCCGACGATCTCGCTCTGGACGTACCTCTCGTCGCTCGAAGTCTCGCTCATCTCCAACCCGTTCTACGAGCCGCGCAAGTACTCGCGCCAAAACTGGCACGCGCGCATGAAGGAGCGCCGCCAAGCGAACGAGGTGCCGATGCCGCCGTGGACCGAGCTGCCGCCACCGACCTTCGGCCTCGAAGAGAGCAAGGACGAAGACCTTGTGTTTGTGCACAATGACACGACTGCGCCGGCGCGGACACCGATGGCGTCGACGTCGCCGGCGTCACCGCCGACCGACAAGACAACGACCAAGACCAAGCTCGTGCATTCGATTGTCCAGGACCTCGACACGGGCCTCATGTTTCCCCACGTGACCGAGGAGACCGTCGTGCCGTCGCGACCACCGCGGCACGTCCGAGACGCCCTGGTCGCTAGCTTTGTAAGCAACGCCGCCGACGAGAGCGACGAGAGCAGCGAGAGCAGCGCTCGGTGCGTGGATGACAGAGGACACGGATGTGCTCATCCCGAGTGTCTCGGTCAAGTCGCTGCGGCTCTGGACCGAGTACTATCTGCGCTGGGACGCGACTTGCTCGATTGAGCGCAACGCCGACCTTGAGCGCGAGGCCAAGCTCCGGGACGTCCTTGCGGAAATGGAGGCGCTGCAAAAGGACGACGACGCGTCATCGCCTGCGTGGGTCGATGTCGTCGTGGAAGAGGCCGTCGATGATGACGCGAGTCGATTCCGGCGCGAGATGGACCGCATGTGCATGGCGTACGAAGACCAGCTCTCGCACTGGCTGCGCGGCTAAGACGGACGTGGGAAGGTACGAGTTCTTTGTGCCGCAACCGAATGACGTATTGGTATATTCTAAAGTATGAAATGCGCCGTGCGCTGTGGAACTGGCTGCGACAACAATCGGATTGTGTGAGGTTTGACGTGGCGCGTTGAGAGGCTGGCTCCTGTGAGGTTGAACACCAGAACTCAGAGTCACTGCTCCGTGCCAAGTACACTCCTATGAAAAGGCGTGGATATGCGTATTGGGCATTGGCAGGTGCCAGAAAGGCCAGTCAAGTTGAAGTGGCAACGTCAAGGAGGACGAGCGGTTCCGACTAGTGGGTGCTTTCTCCCTTCCGGCCGCTCTAATCCTAGTACCTTTATACAGAGAAATATGCATTGGCACCCACATCGATACTCGTCACGGTCGCGTCCTCGGGATACCATCTTCATGCGGGGACTACCTCGTAGGATGTGGGTGGAATAGAGACTAGGCATTGGCTATAATTCGGAAATGGAGACCAGGCATTGGTCGATTTAATTTAAACGGCACAGGCCGGAGACCAGGCATTGGTCTAAATTGATGCAATTCAATCTAACACTCGAAGTTCGTCGAAGTTCGAAATCCGGATCTTCGTATCTTCGACACGAATCCGCCGACCGTTGCGGCCGTTGCATCGGCAGTTGCAGACCTATGGACTGCCGCAGCTCCGCGGCAAGCGGCCAACGATGCGCGTGCGAGTAAGCGACCTCAATGGCCGGTCGTGCTTGTCTTT